ACCGTCCGCATGTAACTCCGTAGCTACAGCGACGTTCCTCCATTTACCCCAGAGTGTCAACTCTGGTACACATTTCCCAGAGGTTGGGTGAACCACGGGAACCGCCCGGTTTCAAACTGACCCTGGGCTGCAGTGAGTCGCAGCTGGATTTTAAAGCGAGTCTCGTATCGACTGCGCTAAACGCTGCCCCGGTGACCCCTCTTTTGACCTGAAGTTCTTATATTCTTGGTACTTGGACTAAGTTTGAGCTCGGCCACCAGAGTGTTATGGAATGTATTTTGAATGTAGTGCCACATGGAAAGGTCACTTTTATTTTTTTTTTAGTGTGTGTGTGTTTGAATTGTTAATTAAACCCTTTTCCAATGCTGTTATTTTAATTCCTCTAGACTGAAAAACATGTATTAAAGGGTTATACTTGGAGACTAATTCTGTTATTGCCTGCACCTTAGAAAGTCAGTGATATTATTTTTGAATATGTCAAGTTTTTGTGGTGAATATGGATGAAAAGAGTTTTTTTTTTTCTATGTTATGTTAGAACTGTAGTAAACTGGATATGTGACGTCTCTGCATAACTGTTTTATGTTTGAAACTGTTAGTTGATGAACAGGTTTTATGAGTCTTCGTAAAATCAAATCTGGATGCATGAATAGGCAGTGGTTCCATACCACAGAAATCCGTTGCTAGAATTGCTTCATGCTGTGGTTGAAGGGAAAACATTTTATAAAAAGTTGAGCATAAATGCTATTAAATATATAAGTGAAACTGCTTTTTTTACTGTCATAGCCAAGACAGTTTCCTTGCTTGGAATGAGAGATATTGGGATCTAGCAGAAAGTTGCCAGAATTGAGGGTTTTGTACACGGTAAAGAAAACTGGTAAATTAACATCAAAATAGTGAGATCAGTCTTCATAGAACTACAGAAATTCCTGAGGAATAGATCAGTTGAGAGGGTTGACTTCATTGACTCAAGATTTTCCCTGTGTGGGCTCCAGGGCCCTATTATGTGGAAGGGAAATAAAAAAAAGACCCACTGCCTACCCAAAAGCATGTCGTAAGAGTCAACTAATTATTTCTTCGAAGTCAGAGTGCATCTGCCTGAGAGGCAAGGAAGAGCTGGTGAATGCAAAAAAAGAAAAAGAATTGATCCAAATTTTATCACATCTGACTTGGTGTCTGTAGATAGTACAGCTAGCTGCCTGATGAGAGCATGAGCACAAACTCTACAGTCCCATAAATGATCCCCAGGGGTCTCCAGATGAAGAAAAACAAAATGGACTGGCGAACTGAACGATGCAGTCCATTATACAAACTCATGGCCTTCAGAGAAAGAGGCAAATAGTTTAGTTGCAGAGATCCCAGATGAACACCTATGAACTTATCCAGTGTGCAGAGATGATGATCTGTTTGGATAATTTGGTACTGTAAAGCTGAAACTCAAGATATGTGAGGATTCTTTCAAACAAAACTTCAGTTGTGTGAATATCTTCTTCCTTATTTTCACCGGCTGTAAACTCTGGTAATTCATCAACTTTAGGTCTTTATCTTGCTACAGAACCTGAGTGTTGCGTGCACATTTTTTACAGATCTGGCTTATTCAAATGAAGACTCTTGGTTCCTTGCCTCTCAGACAGATGCACTCCAACTTCTAAACATCCCTAATTATTGACTCTTATCGCGTGTGGGTTCCGGGACCCTATTATAGGGAAAGCAAGAATAGACTCACTGCCTATCCAAAAGCATGTCGACTAATTGGGAGCTTCCTTCAAGGACAGAGAGGCAAGGAACCAGCAGTCTGCAAACAAATGAGTCAGATCTGTAAATGCACACGCGACACTCAGGTTCTGGAATAGGACTACAGTCCAGAAGTGGATGAACAACCAGAATTTTCCGCCAGAGTTTACAGCTGGAGTTTATGCAAAGATTAAGATTTACCTTTTACAATTTGCTTGATAGAAGGCAGTGGGTCAGTTATTTTTGTTCCTCACAAAGGGCCTTCGAAACCCACAGGGCCGTTGTTTGTGTGTGTATGTATATATATAAAACTGTTTTAAATAAGGGGATGGTTTAATCAGAAATACCATTGCTCTACTTTTAGCTGTAGATCATTGTATTTACCCGGATGTAGCCGTTATTGATATTGTCAAGAGCCACTCCATTCAGTATGTCATGAATGATTTTGTAATTTCTGCCTGTCCTGTATATAATCACTTGGATTCTGTAGTAGTGCTTCTCTTTGAAAAAAGACAGTGCCATATGTTCCTCCCCTGCCCCGCCAATTTCTTTCATTTCTTCCAAGTTGTGATGTGATAATGTACATAAATGGATTGGACTATTCTACTTGGCTGTGTCTGTTATTATTTTATGCATGTTTGTTTTTGTTTGACAGAAGCAAAGGCTCTTTTCTACGCCTTCAGGCATATAGGGCTAGACCTGTATTTTATAGACCAATCGGAACTCGGTGGTCAACATCATGCCAGCCATCTTCACTTCCTAGGACTTTACCTGGTACCCATTTCATCTTTTGTTTTTAAGTCGGTACCCATCAGGACCTGAACCTCCGACATTTGGATCTGAAGGCGGCTCCTGTTTGTTTGATGGTAGTAATAAAAGTACTTCAGGAAAATTAGATATTATATTGGTAAAAGAGGGAGACACACATACACTTGCATAAACATGCCCACCAGTGGCACATCGGGCATATGCTAGACTCGTTGGTTGATGTGTTTAACATCAAGCCGGCCACCTTTACTTCCCCGAACTTTACCTAGTACCCATTTTGGGTTGGATCAACCAATGAGCCAAGATAATTTTTTTTTCACATTATACTCAATGGTGGATTTGAACACAAGATCTTTGTTACACTGAAATGTCAAAAAATACCTTTAAGAAAATTAAATTCTAAATTTTATCTGTGTAAGAAAGGGAGAGAGAGAGACACACATGAACATGCACACACCAATGTAAAGGACTGCAAACTTTCTGAACAAAAGACCATCTTGTTTTTTTTCTTCAGCCATTTTTCCTGCATTAGAGCATAAAACCTTACACAAGCCAAGCTCTTCTATCCTTTCTTATTTTCTACTGTTCAGACGTGTTACAGATATTTCTCCCTATTAACTGTCTAATTTTCTTCATATTTTTAAGATTCCCTTTATTCCCTTGATTCTGTGGGTTCCAGTGCCCGCACATTCTTTTTATATTATGAGAGTGCTTAAAATGAAAACTTGAAAGGTCAGGCTGGGAACAGTCTGTCACAGAAGTCAAGTCATTTTGAAACTTTCTACTCAACTTATACACTTGCCAGACTGACAGACATGCAGTCGTTCCATGCTGGCCCTTCATTCATCAATGAATTTCTATGGGTGATGAAAAAAAAACGGATAACAGAAAGCTGCTCCTCTCTGGTGCATGTCAAAAACAGAGTGGCCATCTTTAAAACGGTCACTGTGTTCATCTGCACTTTAATGCCATGTGCTTAACACTCTTGACATCCTTAACATTACTGACAGGTTACAAAACAATGTATGGTTATTGTAATTTCTACTACACTTTTAATATCTTCATTTCAAGTATTTTCAGGTATTCTTATTATGTGTGTCCCATCCAAGTCTAGACGAAAAATGTTAATTTCATTTTTAAAAATTAAACTTTTTGATCAAACCCTTTTCTTGTAACTGTTACATATGCTACATTGCAAAGACTAGCAACAAGCAAAAGCCTTTTTTTTAAAACAACTTTATGTGAGCGAATTTGTTTTCGGCACAAGTAAACACACATAATTAGTGAAAGAGATTTATTAACCACAAACCTGGTCTAGTTAATTAATTTCAGGCATTTGGGACTGAAATAATGGTGGACGCAAGGACAAAACCTGGTTTGGTTTAAAAAATCTGAGTAATACTGACTAACAGTAAGTTGAGATGCAACAGATGAGATCTCATAAAAATGAACTTTCTAAGAGAATTGCGGTAGTACACTGGCTAGATGCTTATCTACTGGTCCAAATGTTTATGGTTCTGATTCACAGCAATTGTTTTTTTCTTTTTATAATCTGAGGTTAGTCCAACCTAAAAATTGCTACCAGGAAATGTTCTGACAAGGCTTCGTCTTTTTAGCATTGAAACTTCAAAAAGGCTCCCTCTCCAGAGAGTTGGTGAACATTGGAGAGGTGGTTTTTTTTTTTAATCTATTATAAGACTGCTACCACGTGGCTACTGCCCTTTTTAGCTGTTACATCCTCCAAGATGTACACAAATAAAAGTAAATAGTCAACAATCAAGAACATTTCATAAGAGGAGTTGGGGAGGGCTGTTCCTGTGGAGTAAAGAAGGTGAAGACCACAACACAGATTTTTGACCATCACATACATAAGAAACTTCTTCTTAGCTCTCCGGCTGTAAACTCCTGCAGAAAGTTCTGGTTGTTTGTCCACTCCTGGTTTTGATCCAGAACTTGAGGTTTACATGCACATCCATTTTTTTAGATATGGCTAATCTGTTTGCAGACTGTTGGTTCTTTGCCTCTCAGGCACACCTCTGAAGGAAACATCCCTAATTAGTCAACACACATGCTTGTGGCAGTGGGTATATTCTTTTTCTCCAACACAGAGCCCCAGAACCCAGCGAGACACGGAGCATATGAAGCAACAAAGGTTTAAAGTTTAAAATGTTTACAGTCAAGAGAATCAATTTCAATGCACCAGATTCTATCCCATATGGCTCAGTCTCTCTCTGTCTCTCTACCAAGAATGTCACATAAAGCACAGACTCTGCAGGTCCAGCAAAGGACCCCATGGAATTTCAGAAAGATCTCACTCATGCACTGAATTATGCAGTTTGTTAAATGAACCCATGAGCTTTAGAGCGACAGGCAAATGGCTTGATCACATCTCCAAGGAAACACACACACACAATCAGTATGCCTGGTACAATGTCTGAGGAATGACTAATGGGGACAAAGTTTTGAACACCACAAGTTACAGGATGATGGCTTATTAACGATCATGGTAGATTCTCCAACATCAGGGCCAGATGTTTGCCTATAATGTCCAGAAGGTCCTGGCTAATACTCATGAGCACTCTAAAATTGTTTTTATCGGTTATGACTCCTGAAGGCGAAGCCATAAAGTCTGACAGAGTTTTCTGCACATGGCTTATCTTCTGGAAGGTGCTTTTATCCAGAGGAAAAGATAACAATTTACATTCTTCTGTAAATGTTGAAAGCCAGTTGTAATAGTCCTGGCTGTTTAGATCAGGATTGTAAATATAATCGGAGGCTTCACTAAAAGGTTCCACAGTTGTTTTAATAGGCAGACTCCAATTTTCTGACAGTGTTTGGGTTTTTTCAGTTGTAGCATTGGTGGAAAGCTTTGTGTCCTCGTGATAGATATTTACTGTCATTTCCCCTGAGTTCAGGTCTCCAGCCTCTTCTTTAGAGACTGGTAGCATACTGGGTTCCTCATGTGCCTCTTGACTGGGTTTGTGTGGATGAGTTCTCTGTAGCAGCTCTGGTGATGTGCTAGCATCTGCTGGCTGATGACTGGCTGTATCAACTTCCTGCTGCTGAATGACACTGTACCTGCTGCCTGGCTCTTGTATAAATGTCAATGAAGCATCATTAGCTTGGAGCTGGATGTCTCCCACACTGAGTCGATTGGCTAGTTCTTCAAATGGAATGTGGTCACCGTCTTCTAGCTTAAGTTCATAGATCTGATTACCATCGCCATGTCCAATGATTCTGAATGTGCATCCTGGCTGGAGGCTAGAGAAGTCCTCCATACAAGCTGCTGTCTCTGAGACAGCAATAGTCTTGGAGTCGTACACTTGATTCACAGGTTGAGAATCATCTTTACTGTCATTAGCAGACTGAGGGGATAAAAACAAACAAGGCATTGAGGAACATTAACAGCAAAATCTACTTAGTCAGGATAGAATAGGAAACAACAGATGGCCTACAGTATAGGTAATCCTCATCATCATAAACTACCTCTGCCGCTGAGTGTCATGGGGAGGAATAATTTTCAATCCAGTGCATGCTGACTGGCACTGGCTACTGTCATGCCCTGGAGGTGTAAAGTGTCTTTAATGTTATCGGTCCACATTTTCATGGCCATCCTCTTGCTCTTACAGCTGATCTTCTGAGATGTAAACTGATAATCTTAGTTTCAGCTTCATAGCAAACGGGTCTGAAATGTAGTGCCTGTGAAGGTATTTAATGTTGCTGCATTCTAATGAGATGGCCAAACCACTTGATCTGCTGTTTCTCAATGAATCTAGAATAAACTCATGGTTTTGTTTCCACAATCTGTCTGACAGTTTCATTATTTACTAGTTCTTGGAGGCAGGGTGATGGCTTTTCTGAGGTATCTCATCTGCAGGGGATGATTTTCCATAAACAGGCTTTAGACAATGTCCACGACAGGCACTGGTAACTCAATGTCGGTGTGAATATGCTGTGTATAATTTGTTTATCTGCACTCATAGCTCCTCCTGGGTGTCTTTAATAATTTCTTTAATAACTGTGACAATTGGTATTTGTGCACTTGCTTTCCAACATCTGGTTTCTATTTCTCTGTGATGTCAATTCTGCCATCTTCTGTGATATTTAAATTCCCTAACTTGTTTCAGGCCAGAACCATTCAGCTGTATATAGTTAGATAGATAGATAGTTAGTTAGTTGGGTTATCCTCATTGCACTCCGGACATGTCCATAGGTGCTCAGATCCTCCCCTCAGGATGAACCTCAACGTCCGATGGCTAATAGTACCAGTTCTATGTTGATTAACAAGTCTTCCGGCGCAGCTGGTGTGCGTCTCGTTTTTTGCTGTGCCGATCTCAATTCCCAAGTCTGCCACTCCGGCGAGTGACGCGGACCCACCGCCACCAAAGTCGTCTATCCCTCCCATCTCTCTGAGGACACCGACAATATCAGCATGATCCATAGGCTGACCGTCGGTAGCGACAGCGGACCCAGCCAACCCGCCAGCTCTCTCACTTCCATCGACGCCCGCGTGCCCCGGAACAAAAACAAAGGTGACCCCACGGACAGTGGACTTCTGCAATGATTCAAGCCACTGTCCTCGCACTGAACCCGCCCGAACCCTCCGGATCACACTCACCGAATCACCGAGTATACACACGCGGGTGCACTTTTGTGTCTCAAGCCAGGCAAGCGCTTGTGTCACTGCCATCACCTCCATCGTCATGCTGCTGGTTGTCATGGAGAAGGCGCCGTTGGCTTCTTTGACTGCCCCGCCCGCCGAGCGTGCTGCAAATGCCCATGCGCCTCCCCTTTGGCGCATAACGGATCCGTCTGTATAGACTATTGCATCCGCTTCGTCTGAATCCCCACCGATGAGAGCGCTGACCTCCGCATCAACAGCAACAGGATCCTCCTCTCCACATCGCCCGCTGAGTGTGACAATACAGGAAAATGTACAAACAAACGCCTGAGGCACAGGTATCCATTCCGCACCAGGCACGATGTCGGCCAGGCTGCATATCTGCCTAACAACATCCCCTGCCCGACCTAGCCACGATCTCCCCCCCCCCCCCAGTCTGCCGCCCCTTCCACCAAAAAGCGCCTGATGCAGTGGGTGTTTCCCATCAGCACATATTTCGAGATATGCCCGAGCCCTCCACATCCCGATCCCTTGGCTCACTGTTGGAAAGTCAAGTAGATACCTCATTGCTCCACAGGATGTGTCTCTAGTACATCCCAAAATAATGCGCATGGCTTCATTTTGCACCTTTTCGAGTCGTTCGATCTGGGTAGCACTGACAGTGAGGATGGCCAAAGCGCATTCCATGGGGGAAAGGACCAGACCGTAGAATAGAAGTATTAGTAGTCTTTGCTCAATGTTGGAAGCAGCCATAATCCTCAATGCAGATAGACCTTTGCGTGCTTTTGTTATCACATGGTCAACGTGTTCCCTGAATGACAAGCTGCGATCGAACCTCACCCCGAGAAACGTCATAACGTTGGTTCTGACCAATACACCATCACGCATTTTCACTTCTGGTAAGTCCGACTTGACAATGTGATCGTTCAAAGAGAACCATGACACTAATGCCTTCGAAGGATCGACATAGGCACTGGAACCACCACACCAGGCGGCAATTCGATCGACTTCTTTGTGCATAGTGCTGGCGATCTCCTGTCTATCACGCCCTCGTCGATAAATCAAAATGTCATCAGCAAATGACAAAGTCCTCCCCTTTCCATTCAACTGCCGCCCAGTGATCATCACCGTACAAACGTTGAATAAGACTGGTGATAGCGGTGATCCCTGTGGCAAGCCTGGACATATCGTTTGCGGTTCTGAGGACCAGCTACCACATCTTAGTACAATCTTTCTCTGGAACAGGACCGCTGCAATCCAGCGGATCAGAATAGGATCAACTTCCAGTCCAAGCAGCAACTGCACCAAATAATTGTATGGTACTTTATTGTAGGCATCTTCTAAGTCCAACACTGCCGCACATGTCTCTTCTTTAATCTGAAATCCCTCGTACACATCGTAGGCGAAAACTGCAGCATTGAACCATGTCTCTTTATTTAACCTGTACCCTCCAAGTGTTGGTGGGAACTTATCATGTAGTTCCAAGTAGGTGGTCAATCTTTGTGCGACAATTTTTTCCAAAAGTTTGCCAACAGTATTCTGCATCGAGATGATTCTGTAGCCGCAGATCTTCGAGTGGTCTTTATTAGGCTTTGGTAGTGGGAACAAATAACTATGGAGCCATTCCTCTTGTATCTGGCCACTCTGGATGCTGATATTGAATTCCTTTGCCACGCTTTTCAAATCAGCATTCGACATCATCAGCATGTCGTTGTATCGGATGCCGTCAGGGCCTGGAGCAGTGCTGCGCGATTTCTTGAGGCAAGTTCTTAAGGTATCTGCAGTGATTGTGAGATCAGTGCCTAGGACAGTGTTCTCGCACAGCATCGACAGTTTCATCTTAACCCCTATTCTTGTAGCTTCGTCTTTTTGGTCAGTTTGCTCCAAGTAGCGCGCCAGAAGGGTTTTTCCTTTATCAGCATCTGTTCTCTGCCATATCAGGTCTGTACCCTGAAAATCAGGGATACCCCTTGGTCGTGCGGCGCCGTGCATGCTCCGTTGAAGGCGCCAGAATGTCACAAGAGATCCCTCGGAGCAAACGCTCTTGCAGAATTCGTTCCATTTCGCTGTCTTAGCTTCCTTCGCAATTAACTTGAAAGCCACTGTCTGCTTGTTGCCCTCATCTTTCAGACTGATCAGGCGTTCAGAAAGTGACGGATCAATTTTCCTTGCCTTTTGCCATGCCTTGACAGCTTTCCTTTTTTCTAGCCACGCCATGTTGACTACTTCATTCCACCATGGTGGCTGGGCCCATCTCTCACGCCGTCTGCGATCTGCTCTTGTTTTACGTCGTCGGATTTTGCTAATGGCATCCTGCCCTGTACGGTCATATATAAAAGCAGGCACATTGATTACATGACCTTTGTTGTTGCTCTTCTCTACCAGGACGACGCAAGGAAAGTGATCACTGTCGTGGTATCCCAGTGTGCTCCACCTGCATCCTGATGCAATGGAGGGAGACACAAGGGCCAGGTCAATTACGCTGTCAGAATCCCCTTGTCGTGTTGCCATTCGGGTAACCTTTCCGTCGTTCAAGCATACTAGATTGGCAGACACTAGGGCATCCTCCAGGTCTTCCCCCTGTTTATTAGTGATTACATTGCCCCACTGGTGTCCTCTGGCGTTGAAATCTCCGCAGTAAAGGACTTTCTTTTCCTCCGTCTGGAGCAAACTCTGCCATTTCGCTGTATCCACCTTTCCATTGCAGGCATACACATTGACAATCACAAACTGGGCCGGGCCCATCACTCTGACTGCGTGTACTTGTAGGTCGTCATTATTCCACTTAGACATGTCCACCTCAGACACCGGTATGTGGTCACGAACAAGAATGAGCTGTCCGAGGTGCCGTCTATTGTAGAAGGATTGGAAGCCCGCAATTTTAATGATCTCGTCACCGAGGTGTGTTTCCTGTAGGACAACAATGTCGTTGCTGTAGAGGAGCTTCTCAAAAATGGGTCGGCGTTGACTAAACGAAGCGCAGTTCCAGTAGAGAACACGAACATACTTTAAACTGAGTCTTTCACATTTCAGCCGCTTCCTGCAGGCGCCACCTTGCTTGCCTGTTCGCGTTCTCCTTGTCCGTCTACGGGTTGTTTTGAATGGGTAAATAGTCGCCATCGGACGTCGAATACACCCTGAGGGAAGTCTAAACTCACGTGCATGTACTCCATTGCACGGTTCAGACCCCATTCCGATGAAACTTTCACATTATACGTGAGCGAAAATAGCTAATTTGCGCCATTCGCCTCAACGGACGAAAAAGCGTACCGCCATTGTGGCTGTTTACACCGGAAGTCAGCTGTATATGTAGTGGACCATGGGTTGACTTCCACTTTTTCAGTTTTGTCTGCATTGATCTTCCTATAGGTAATGGCAGATATTGCTGCTCGAGTGTGCAGTGATTGGACTTACATATATCAGATCACTGTTTCCTAACTGTGGGTCCGCAGAACAAATTTTAGAGGTCTGCGATATCCCCATCGTCATGTAGCAGGTCCTCTAGAGAACATCACTCTCATCAAGATCTGCCTGAAAGAAACTCTGCCTCTCGTCAGTTCTCTTGCCATTTGCACTTTCCTTACCAAATTGTCACATATATCCTGTGCCCATCTTCGTGCTGGTTGGCCCCAGTCCATCTTTCCAGGTACCATACCTTTTGCTACTTTAAAAAAAAATTATTTTCCTATGGCATAATTTAC